CAGCGTGGCCTGTCCAATCTGTCCTGCCTTGGTCCTGCCCTGATAGTGCGGCCGTTGGAATCCTTCGTGATAGCGACGGTTTCTTTTATGTTTTGAGTTTGTAGGCGAGGGTTTTTGATCCGGATGGCCGAGTTTTTCCCTTGCACCCGTTGTTGTATGAGTAACTTAAGTAGATCTGGAGTATCCATGCCCCACTGATGGTTTGTCAATAGCTAGACGAACCGGGGAGGGTGTTCGTGTGTCTGGATACGAGCATGGTATGCCTGAAAAGGCTACTATGTGTGGGCCCCCTTCCCCGAATTCGGGAGGGCCACTTCTTCCCTTCCTTTCCTCGCTCCCGCGGGTGCCAAATCAGAGAGATTGAAAGCGTGTCTTCTCCTCCCAAGTACGGACATACCAACAACCCGTGATGCTGATGTTGAAGACACAGCAAACCAACGATGAGAGGCCCATAGGGTAGTAGTAACAGCTGCAGGAAGCGCTGCCTTCCGCTGCTCTCATGCAAAAACTGGTCGGGTGAACACGCATGTTCATGATTGGACACCTTAGAGAGGGCACCGTAACGGTTTTTCCTAACGCGGACGACCACAACTAACAACAACACAACCACGGTTTATGGTCCGGACACAACTGACACCGCCGATGAACCGGTCCGCATCACAGGCTTCGTCTCATTCTCGACAACGAACACCACACGTACGCGAAAGGGGGCTCAAAACGTCGGTGGATGCAAGAGAGGCCCCCATCGCCGAGTCTTAAGTGCGCCCTCAAAATGTCACACAAGCCACAACCGTACGGTTGGCTTAGCCCAAGGAATCGATCGGGCTGGACCCAACGTGGAGACGTTTTTTTCGGCGAACCGAGGTTCCCAAAGTTGCCAAAAGGCGCGGGGGAGAGGAATCACGAAGCAGCCTCGCCCTCCACAGGTCGCCCCTTTCAAGCAAGTCGCATTAACACCAAAATAAAGGTCGAATCGCTTGCGAGCAGACAGAAGGCACACCGAAACACTAGACACGAAACAGCCACCAAACATTACGGTGCTGCGGTCACACACGGGGACCTTCGGATTACAACTACACACAAATCCCTCACACAACGAGACACCCCCGGCGAAACTGTCACCCGAGGTCGTTCGACCGCCCGAAATAGGGCTCGACCAGCAGAATCACGCGCCACAGGAATCCACGCAGACCTTGCACCAACCCTTCAACCCTCTCAAGGAGACACGTCTGAGCCATCGAAACCGCACTTCGTCGACAATGTCGGTGACATCAACCGAAAATCAGACAAAGAGCGCACGGAAAACAGGCTGGGGAAGCGTCAGGGAGGGTGCGATGTAGGTACGAGGCACGTATTTTCCAGCGCGCCCCGACTGCCGGACTCGCGCTTGTAGCCTTGTTACGTGATGACGGTGGGGTTCTCGCGGCCCGTGAGCTCCCTGAGCTGGGACAGCTTCAGGCCGAGGGCGACCAAGCCCGACAGGGCTTCCGACGGCACCTGGTCCAACTTATCCTCGTCCTTCTCGTATTTCTCGATGTACCTGGCGTGGGGTTAGAAGCAGCGAGACGTCGTGAGAAGAAGCCGCGCCACAAAAGCGACCAAGTACACGACACACCAGAAAATAGCCGGCCGAGGTAGCCGATCGGCCAAGAGCGACGACAAGTTCTTCAACATCATCACGACATGCAACAGTGACGCGTGCACGCACGGTTCGTGTGCTCCTCTAGAAAATTAGACTAGTTGTTATTAGATGTTATCCCTGTTTACAGCAGCGGCAGCAGCCAACGGCGGCTCTAACAAACACCAAGCACGAGCGGATCCTAAGATCGCACGGCTTGCACGCTATTAGAGAGCAATAGTACCGTTCGTACCATAACACCGTTGTCTTCCTCTTTTCTTCCATCTCCGAAAAAGAGCGATAAAAAACGAACACAAAAAAAACTCACATGCGAATTGTGGCGCCGACAGACCCAGTCCCGCTGAGCCGAAACACTACCCTCGAGCCGTCGGACATGAGGATGCGGATGCCTTGCCTCGAGGCAACGGAGCCATCGACGGGGTCCTTGTACTCGAACTCGTCGGCCTTCGCGATCGAGAACCCTGTTTGTTTTCGATCGGTTGGCGGGTGCACAAGTGTTGGAGGACGAAGGCCGGGAAGCACGGGAGAGAGTAAACCCCGAGTAGAGCGTCCCTCACGTCCGTCGTGGCCACGGATGGGGATAACGTTGGCGTGCATATTTCCCTGCCACCATGAAAATAAGCATGGCACCGAAACTTGACAATCTGCGTGGTCCCCGGATCGTTCCGGCTCTCACTAGAAAGACACGACCGGTTAGTAGGTGGTATGCGTAGATTGAGGTATTACTAAAACGTGAGCGGAGGTGGTGTGGTGTAGATTGTTGTTGTTGTTGTTGTCTTCACATTAAAAACCGTTCCGATCTCTCTCTACCCAGTACCTTCGTATGTCCGTACTGATACAACACTCGACGCGGTCGATTCCCGTGGTCGCAGGCTAACTTACCCTACAAAGGTAGATGGGCCATCTTGAATTAAACATGGACAATATCTCGTACGACTGCCTCGGAACAACCTTAATTCAGGCTTGGCTCGTGGGAACCTAATGTTTTAGTACTTAATCTTTTGGGAAGAACTTTCGTCTGCTCCATGGGCACCCTAATGACGTCCCCTTGAATAAATGAACCCGGGCACAGCACGACATCAGGTTGGGGAAACGAACGGGAAGCTACCTGAGTCGATCAACCATCAAATCGGTTACCAAAGCACCACCTACGATTCCGGGTCTGCCTACACGTGGAAAACACTCTACGGCCCTGTGCGTGCGCCCTCACCTCCGCCCCATCCCTCCTACGAAACATGACAAATGTGTGATCTCGCGCTCGTGCTCACCGTCCATCTCAGCATCGGTCCACTCCGCGAAGTGCGAGCGCATGTGGTCCATCATCTTGTTGGCGCTCTCAGCCGAGACCCCCTCGTAGTCGTAGCGCGTGTAGTAGTTACGGCCGTACGTTGCCCAGTGTTGGCGCACGATGTCCTCCACGGTAACGAGCTTCTGCAATCACGAATAGCGAACGGGCGACAGGATTTGCGCAGCTCAAGCGACACGATTGCACATGCCAACAAGAGCAACGAGCTAGAACTCAGCTATTATCGTACGCTTCGGCGCTGCCCCGCGCGCTATGCCCCCCCCAACCACCAATCTAGACTTCAGTGGGTTGGCGCTGTTGGCAAAGCGCTGTAAAACACGCCACCCCAAATATAGCCCCCATAGTATGCGCTACCAAAGACGCGTGACGCATGGATGCGTGGAGTGAGGATTGCTTACG